GAAAGGAAAGAAAGGGGCACAAAGGAATCGTAAAGGGTGACTGCACCATGACTAATCACAAATGACAGCTGACTGTCCGCCGTGACAGCAGCAAGCGCTACTTCGCACGTCTATCTACTTAGGCCTCTTGATACTGAAACCTCTCTGTGAATGCATCCCAAGATTCTCAGCCAACAATTCGCTGTGTTTGGTATGGATCGACTTTTATTTGGATGACCACCATTTATAAGTGTTGCAACACAACCGCTGCACAACTACGCCGCCCGGGGGCGGGAGGAACTCAAAGACCATAACGAATTTTCTATGTACTCTGTCTCCCGGAATAGTCGGGCTTGACATCGGTATCCGTCGACGCCGGTTGAATCTCGTCAACAACGTTCGTGAACAACAGCGGCCGCTCTGGTAACAATATTCCCGACTGTTTTGCACCTCCTTCAAGCGGCTCGCTTTTTGTACCGCCTCCTCGGCAAACGTCTTTCTGTTTTCCAGACCAATTCCACTCAGTCTCACTTGCAGGATACAGCCGAAATTAAGCGTCCTCTCGTCATGTGGGTCTCGTAATTCGACGGAGATCTCTACGACGATCTACAATCAGGAGCGCTTGGCGGGAGACTTCCCCATGCTTTGACCTGCTTCGACACGAACGAAAAGTAGTGAACGATCAGCAAGAATTACTGTCGTTTGCGGCAACTTGCCGGGCAAGTCTGCGGGAGTCAGCGGGCTAAATTTCGCTAAGCTGGTCCCGTCCCCTTCCGACTTATCGGTAATATCAGTATCGTCGGTATCGCGTATCACCTGTGATATAGTCTCTCGGCCTTGGCTAATACTTCGTAACTCAACCTTTCCTCTCACCCTGTACTCCATTGACATGTTCTGCACTTCTTTGTATTAAACTTGGTGTACATGTCAAGCGGGATTTTCTACCTCCCAGGGTCAAATATACCGCAGCTTCCATGAATCCAACATCACATCAACCCTGCACTTCATTTTTCGGCAGTTCGGCCGGCGAGCGGCATTCATCTTGTGACATCACGCGATGTGTAAGTATAATTACGGGGGTGTGATCCAGACCCTTTGAATCCTACCACCTCGAATGACCCCAGTCCCAAGGCTATCCAGGCACTCTTCTCGACTTATATACAGTCTATTCTCTCTAGCCTCCCAATATGTGCCGCGACTGCTACGCCTCTCTAGCTCCAATGGGCCCACCGCGCATTCACTCTCAAAGCGTGAACAATTCGACCCCCATAGCACGACCAGCATCGTGTTTGCAGGTAGGTGGCACGGATCCTCTCCTCATCGATCTTCTCACCGCGTGGTACAGTTCTCATACCCATTCTTGTCCTCTCGTCGGGATTGTTTGCCGGTCTGACGCTGGGCTATATGAGCTTGGACGAGACCCAGCTTAACGTATTGAGCATCAGCGGAACCCCGTCGGTGCACTGGATCGACGCGGCTGGCGGCCACTAATGTTATACCAGGAACCAGCGCGAGTACGCTAACAAGATCAAGCCCATCCGTAGAAACGGACACCTGCTCCTCGTTACCCTTCTCCTCGCCAACATGGTAATAAGCCCTTGCTGTTTTCCGCGCGTTGTTATTGAATTGTGGATACAAGATCGTAAACGAGACCCTCCCAGTCGTCGCAGACCCAGTCCTTGGCGGTGGCGTGCAGTCCGTCGTAGTCTCGACGGTCCTCATTGTAATGTGAGTTCGGCTCCGTTCGGGCCGCACTCATTAGAAGCACGCTCTCGGGCTTGCTTTTGACGCGCCTCCTGCCTTCTTCTCCAAGCCCATAATTGCGTGTGACGTCACGCGTCAAGGCGTTTCCCTGGCGCGACTCGCGTGGTCCCCAAATAGCCGACATTTAACCCTCATTCATCGATGATCGCCGGGCTTCTTTCCGTCTCTCTCCGTTTTTCTTCTTCCCGATACTGACTGTAATTCAGTTTCGCGGAGATCATCCCCCAGTCGCTCTTCACCCGCCATGGGCTGTACCTCGGCGCTAAGATGGCGGGCTTCACGAAGGTCCTCATTTACGGCCTGGCAAGTCGAGTCCCGTGCAATCCATCCTACCCTTAATTCATTCTACGCAGGGTATCATCTCATGGCCCGTCGCGAAACTGCTCGAGTTTGTCTTGGGCTCACACCACGGTATCATCTACCGCAGAGCAGGTAGTATTCTTTCCTCCCTAGTCTCGGCCGGCTGCTCACGAGCGTGACAGAGCTGAAAGAGCTCATTGCGATGCACTCGTCGCACGCGACGCACGGCGGGGACCTCCGCACCGACACGGTCACCATCATCGGCGCGACGCTCGACCTGCAAGAGAAGGTCGTCCGACAGGTGGGAATGCCCGTTATCCCCGTTGCCTACCGCTGATGCTCCGACTGACAGGCGATGACCCCGATCTCGGACGTATTCATGCTCTCCATCGACTCGCTCCTCGACTACGACCTGCTCAAGCAGATCTGCCTCACAGGGCACAGCCGCGTGCCCGTCTATGAGGAACTTGAGATCAACGGGAACAAGCTCAAGAAAATCGTCGGCATCCTCCTCGTGAAGCAGTGTGTCCTGCTCGATCCCAAGGGTGGGCTCCTTCGCTGTTCTGCTTGTGGTGACCCCCCGCTGACGTGCAGAAAGACGCGATCCCGCTGCGCAAGATTCCGCTCAACAAGGTGCCGTTCATCCCGAACAACGAGCCGCTCCTCGGGCTCCTTGACAAGTTCCAGGAGGGGCGCAGTCACATGGCGATCGTCAGCCGGTTCAGCGTCGATAAGGTATCGCCCATTTATTCCCCTTTATGCTTCGCGGCTTACCGTGTCCGTCCGTTTTCTTTTGCAGGCCGCAAGCGTGAAGAAGGCGGTGAAGCGCGGGTTGACGCAGCGCCTGCGTGAGCGCGTCGGCATGGGCGACTCTGACTCGAGCGACGAGGAGGAGAAGGAGAAGGAGAAGAAGCAGACCATCAGGAAGAAGAAGAAGGTGAAGGACATCGAGGAGGGGATCGAGGAGGACTTTGAGGGGGACACCCTCGGCGACGCGTACGGGAGCGGGAACGGGCACTCAAACGGGAACCCCGTCTTTGAGAAGGACTTCTCTGCGCCGAACCGCGGCCGAGGCGGGCGCCCTACCAGTGCCGGACGGACGAAGGAAAGCTCGAGCGATCGCGATAAAGAGGACGTCCCCCCGAAGAGCCGCAGAACCAGCTTCCAGCTGCCGAAGGCAGCGGCAGGTATGACCTCGATGTCGATGCTGGAGCAGAGCATGCCCGCCGACGCTGTGCTTGGGAAGGAGGGTGCCGAGGAGGTAAGATTTCGCTGTGATGCCCACAATGTCGGTATTGACCGGTCTCCTAGTTTTTGCAAGGCTTCGACCCCGCCATCATGCCACTTGGGATCATCACGCTTGAGGACGTGCTTGAAGGTGTGTATTTTCGCTTCCTTTCCTGACCCTCGTGTTCATCTAGTGTCAGAGCTCATCGGTGAAGAGATATTCGATGAATTTGATTACGAGGTCCCTCCATTCATTGGTCCACCTTTATCTTGTCTAATTTTTTGTATTTTATTTTTGAAAACCGCAGGGCGCACACGGTGATCCCTATGTCCCGCCCGGCGCCGAGGCTCCGGCGCCCTCCCCCGTAGAAGGAGCGGCGCCTGCGGCTCCCAGCGCGCCTCTGAAAGCCCTCCGAAGGGTCCCAGCGCACCTCTGAAGGCGCCGACGCCGGTTCTCAAGGAGCTCTCACTCAAAGGCCTCAGTTTCCTACGCTCCCGCAGCGCGCCGCCCACCCCCCGCGAACCGAACATGAATCTCGTGACGGTGACCAATGCTGGGCGCGCCATTGAGAGTCCTGCGGTGCTGACGCACGTCCCGCCTACCGACCAGGCGCCTGCGACCCCTGGCACCACGCAGCCCATCCCGACCGTCATCATCGAGCGCGACACTCCCTCGCCGACGCCGTCGCTCACGCCCACTGTCCCGGACGACCCGGCCCCGCCCTCGGTCCCGGTCCTTGACGTGAAGAAGCCCATGCCTGTCAACACGCTCGGGCTCACCGCGTCGCTGCCGCACGTTGTTAGGCCTGCGTCGCGCAGCGTCTCTCCCGCGCCGTCCCTCGAAGCGATCCTGCTCGACCGCAAGCGCCGCCTTGGGGCCGCTGCGACCACGCCCGCGAGCAGCATCGGCGCGGCCGTGACGTCCACCGCGTCCGTGAACGTGCCACCCAACGGGGGAGCGGCGCCACCTGCGCGTACCGTGCCCGCCACCGTCAAGGGTACGCGCTTCAAGAGCAGTCCCCTCGGGGGCGGGGAGCGCACGGGCATCGTCGTGGCAGAGCAGATTAAAGAGCAGATGTGTGTGGGCGGCGGGCTCGATGTGAGCGACGCAGAAACGAAGTTTGGGAGCGAGGAGGGCCGGATACCGGACGAGAAGGACAAGGAGGGGCCCGATAAGCTGAATGGGGATGCTGATGAGAAATAATCCCGAATCTTGTTGCACACTTCTAGTCTAGCAGACCATCTTGAATCTGCATGTACAGATACTACTTTGTTCTAGCTGTAATTGCTATTGGTCCTATCCCAAATCTTCCCGAAGAAATTCACATTGAATAGCAGATGAAAATGGCAAGAGAGTTGTCGGACTGACACAATGAAATGCAGAAATATGCGGTGTTCGCCCACACGCCTTCATAGGGACTAATAGCTGGGTTACATCTATGGGCGTGCGTGTGGCCTATCGTCGAAAGTAAATTCGAAGATCGTTTGATGGCTAAATTCATTACTGATCCCTGCGAGTCCACAGCAAAATGAAAAATAAAATAAGAAGCCAAAAAATATGCCTGATGGGGCGAGGCTTTCGCTGACTGCCGAAGCGAACTCTGAACTCTAGGAAGCGTACTAGAACACCCCGACGGCGCGTGTCGTCATTCTTGACCACAGGCCTGCCTCACACCCCGAAGGCCAGTGAGTTCCGAAGACGGCCCGGCTCGCAACAGCCGCTCAACCAGTGCCTCCTGAGGGGATCGAACCCTCGGCTTCCCATGTTAACCACCTCATTGCGTAAGGGACGTCTCCCTCGAAAGTTGGTGAAGTTAACCGTTTGACTACGGAGGCACAGAGATACATGCCCGAGCGTAGAATATGGGACCGTGTGATAAGTGCTCGGAGTGGCTGTGTAACTCACTTGATTACGCGCCTGTAGTCAAGGCGGTTAAATCCCCCGCTGGTCGAGACCTCAGCACACGAATACAGCTGTTTCCTGCCACAGTGGCGCTTTCGCTACTTTCCTGGATAATTAAATCGGTCACTAGAGCAAGATGTGCCCCTTGAAATTTATTCTAGCCTCGCATTCCGGCGAGGGCAACAAACGGGCGACTTACGGTGAGTTACTACTTTGGGGTCGATATCTCTGATCCGTGCCTAGAGGGGATATCAGAGGCAGATCGACGCGCCGAGACCACGGCGCGCTTTGGTTGATGCGTGACGTCACGCGACAGTGTCACGCCAACTCTCCTCCCTCGTTCACGCCAGCGATATCCAGCCCCAACATTACTCGCCCATCATGTTGACCCGTGAACACGATGTCATTAACGCTGCCCTCGCAGTGATCCGTGAGCCGAACTACAGTGTGATTTGGCCTTGGGTCTGGCCATCAACCTGGGATTCCATGGTCTCGCCTGTAGATGAGGTTCGAGAAGGGTTTCGCATCAAAGGCTGGGCGTCGCTCAAGTACGCCTTTATGCTTGCTTTTGTCGACGTCTTGGGTGGTCTCGATGACGGCTGCAAGCCGGGGTTGTATGGGGTGAATATGATGCCTTGATTTTGCATATACCTCACTCACCCTTATTCGAAGACGCTTGAAAATTGTATTCTGGGCGAGGACGTCTTTTCCGAGCTCCTTCAGAAGCCCGACCACCCGGATGCCCCACGGATTGTTAGGGTTGGCGAGATAGCAAGCCCGAGTTTCTTGATATTCATCGGAGGTCTCTGGCACGACACCAAGGGCCTTGGCAAAATCACCGGGTGGATTCTGACCATATTCATCCCCCTCATTCGAGCTGGGCTGCGGGCGTACAACTCCTTGTGAGTTGTATTACTTTATCTCCGTTTTCATCCACTCAGCGCGCGACCCAGCCGGCCTAACAAGAAAGCGAAGATTGAAGCCAAAGTCTCTGAGCGCGGTGCCAATTGCTCGACCGGTTCGTTTCACCTCTCGCTCTCGAGTTGGTCTACATCTAACCTGCCCAGACATCCGTATTCTTGAACGGATGCGGAAGGTGCAGCTGGCGAAGAAGGCTCACAAGCCGAAGCAGTTCAAGCACGCGGTACCGCCTGCCGTACTACTCGCCACACCCTCCCCCACGCCGTCTTTTTCGCCCACTCTCCCCACTGAGGATGACGAGGACGATTTCAGCGAGGTCTCTACATTACCAGGAGCGGTATGTGTAACTCTACTTCCTCGTGGCGTCCACACTATAATCTCGTTTGCTAGTCGATGGTCACAGCCGACGTCCGCCCAACGAGAGCGACCTTCGTCAAGATGGATCCGTTCCAGGGTGTCCCATCACCCATGGCCGAGGATGCGCCGGTCCTGCTCCCAGTAACGGTATGCGAAGCTATATTTATTCGCTGCGTCTACACTCTAATCTGGTTTGCTAGACGATGGTCACAGCCGTTTGCGCGACGAGAGGAACCTGTGTGGATCCATTCCAGGCTCTTGTATCACCCACGGACGAGGATGCGCCAGTCTTGCTCGAGGCATTTTCGCCCAAGGTCCTGAAGGTGTGGATGATTGTAGTTCAGGCTCCCTCCTTTAACCCTCTCTTAACCCAGCGCAAACACCGTTTGTCGGACGAAAACCTCCACCAGGACCAAGACCTCTTCACAAGCGCCAGCTATGACCCCCGAGTGGCGAAGGAGTTCCGGAGTCCACTAACTCCACAGAATCTCGGAGACGGTGCGTCCCCGCCCCTTGGGACCTTATGTTTAGCCCAACACATCGTTTCAGGTTCTCCTGTTCCCTTCCCGCGCCGCTTGCTGTTCTCGGGCGACTCGTTGGCCGGCTGGAACCTCCCGCCGACTGGCACGCCCAACGACCCTTCCTCTCCTCCCGCCGTCGGTCTTTCCAGTTGTCACGCCCTTGGTCTTTCCTCTCCTCGCGCCCATGGTCCTTCCACTCTTCACACCCTCGGTCTTCCGTTTGGCGCCCTCGGCTTTCCCTCTCCTCAAGCGCAGCAGGACCAGACTCCAAGTCCGCAAGCTACCTTGGCCTCGTCTTTGGATCAAATGATGCATCTGTAACTTGTGCTGTTCACTCTTGTTCTGCTGGAAACTACCCTCAATTTGCAAGTCCTCCCCGTCAATCTCGCTCATTTCTTCTTTCGGTTTATCTTACTCTCCCTATAATCGGTTACGATATGTTATATACTGGGATACCTGTTATTACCCGCCTTGCCCACCGCGCAGATACACCTCAAACTTTAATTTAATATTCGCGCCTACAACGCGCCTACTTACATGTATGTCAGTGTCGCATTAACGGTGTTCTTGATTTACATACGTGCTCGTGCATCAATGCCGTGGTATGTCGGCCACTTCAATCTGGACATTCTTCTTCCACTTCCATTCGGCGCATCGCGTCTGACTCTTTGTCTCAGAATACCCTGTCTACCTGAGTCCGTCCGCCGACTAGATTAAAATTAAACCCACAACCTCCGGCCTCCGGCCTCCGGTGTCAAGTCCTCAACAACCCCTTCTAGGCTTACTAAGGTCTGTACGTTCAGTCGGACCGGATGCCACGACATGCCAATGGAGGCTCTCTGTTTGGTAAACCACCTTCTCTTGCTCACTGGTTCAAGCTGATAAATGCTCGCCCCGCACCCCGCGGACCACACATGGCTTTCCTTCTTCCTTCGCCTCACTTGATAAATGCACCGCCGGTGTCTCGGAGCGGAATTCAGAAACAAGTAGCCCACGTCGACGCCAAGTGGCACATCCTATCAATGATCAGTCATTTCTTCGCCCCCCGCGCCGATGTGCGAATTTGCCCGCGGCGGCACTTTGCAATTGTCCGTAGATCGTGTCTACATAATACTGTAAGTATAATTTCATTCAATACGGATCGCGACATGAAAAATTATCAAATTGGTCTTTTTGCGCTGCGGAGGTAAATTTGGGTCGGACGTGATGAATTTGGCATTCGACAGACCCCCTGACCCCGACCATATTTCGACGCCGACAGGCGCGGTACTGCACCGAACGGCACGACAGGTAATAGACAAGTAAACAGGGTATTCTGAGACAAAGAGCCAGACGCGATGCGCCGAATGGAAGTGGAAGAAGAAGAATGTCCAGACTCGGAGTGAAGTGGCCGACATACCACGGTGTTGTGGTGGTGGGCTCGGCCCACACCAGTGGCGCGGAGGATAGATTTGGGCCTGTTTACGCGTAGATTAGGTCATCCTGTGCTTAGCTTGTCCCATATCCATCGCTTTGGCCGCCGCCCCGCGCTAGCTGCCTCGGAGTCACCCCAAGCGACACGGTGGTGCACTCCAATGTAAATCAAGAAGTATGTACTAGTATGTAAATCAAGAACACCGTTAATGCGACATGCAAGTAATACAATTTATTCTGGCGTCATCCGATGTGGGCGGCAAACGGCGACAGGATCTCTCATCCCATGTGGCATCAAGCGGAGATTGCCGCGCGTCTTGGCGCGTCGGCGCGTTATGTCACGCGTCCGTGTCGCTCATCTGCACACCACACTTGCCTCTCATTCCAGTGAAAACGGACCAGAAAGTGCTGATGCTACTTCCCAAGAGAACTTTTCTCCAAACAAGGTCCCAACAGCTTCTTGGAATCCGCAACTCATAGGCTAGTATTGGACATCGCATGGACATCGCCGTCGGCATCGGATCTAGACGACCTCTTTCCTCTATCCGCGTGTCCATGGTGCCTATTTACCGTATCAGCGATAGCACTTGTATTGAATCATCCTTATCAGCTATATTCTAAGTGACTGTGGGCAGCAAGGACAGGCCTTATATATGCTTGTCTTCGGACCGTCTTCGAATCCTCTGCTCAACCCACACAATGGACGAGACCGATACGCGCCTTCTGGACTTGGCCGGGATGACAGCTTGCACAATTGTTTTCTTTGCTAGCCTATGGTTCACACTGACAGTGCTACGTCGATCACCCAACATCGTCGTAGCTGTCCCAGGACCGCCGTCTCCGTCCTGGATCTACGGCATGTCTGACTCGCTGAAAAGACGAGCACCTATATCCTAATACTGCTTCGCTAGGGAATATGACACAGCTAGTCCTTGCGGAAAATTACGGCGACTACGAATTTAAGTGGCAGAAACAATATGGCCCTTTGTATCGCATCAAAGGCTGTTTTGGGGTAGAGACACCTCCATCATTCACCGATGTCAGACCACACTCAATACCTTGCAGGAAGACCGTCTCGTCGTTTCAGACCCGCAAGCTTTGAGACACATTCTTGGCAACCCGTCAATTACACGTCCTCCACACCAGGCAAAGACCTCGCGTCTGTTATTAGGCAAAGAAGGCGTTTTTTGCGTTGAAGGTGGGCTTCTCTTGAAACTGGATTCATAGCACGACGGCCGAGCTAGATCCTTAGGGGAAGAACATAGGTATCTCCGCGCTGCGATGAGTGGCGGATTCTCCGGGAAAAGTGTCCGATCAGTCTTGCCTGTGTTCGTCGATGTAGCCAAGAAGGTAATGTGGGCGGACTTCTCGCTGTTGTGGACTCATATTTTAGCAGGTGGTTCATGAATGGGGGTCTAAGATGATATGCACACCTGGTTCCTCAACCCGACTCAATGTTGGAAAAATGGTGCACCTCGCGATGTTCGACATGATTTGTGATGGTAGGGGTTACGCTTCCTCTTGTTTTTCCGTTAAATGGCTGTTCTAAATATTCAGCGGCGCTGGGATTCCCTCTCAATACTGTACAGAATTCTGATGCGCTCAACCGTTTCCACGTCTTGTGAGCGTCATCATTACTGGGTCCAACACCTACTAACCTTTGTAGAGTAGCTCCGTCCATTCGTTCCGAGTCAGCCCTCATCTCCGAAATCTTTACCGCC